CCATTTTAGATTCCTCTATTGAGAATTGTCTATTTAGTTCTGTACCCCACTTTTTAATTGGATTGTTTGGTGTTTTGGAGACTAGCTTCTTGAGTTCTTTGTATATTTTTGAGATAATCCCTCTGTCAGATATGCGGTTGGTGAATATCCCAGTCTGTGGGCTGCCATTTTGTCTTGCTGACTGTGTGCTTTGCCTTGCAGAAACTTTCAATATTTTTTTTAATTTTTATTTAAATTCAAAGCAATTTTATTTTATGACCAATCCCAGTTCCCCATGCCTCCTGTCCTCCCATTCTCCCTACCAACCCCTCATCCCACCCCTATCCACTCCTCAGCAACATTGAGACCATTCATGGGGCATCATCAAGCTCTGTTGCATCACTGGGGGAAGGACCTAGGTCTTCCCTGGCATATCTAGAATGAGATAAGCAATAGGTCCCCAAAGCCATTCATGCACCAGGGATAAGTACTGGTTCCACTTCTAGAGGCCTCATAGACTGTCCAGGCATCCAAACTGGCATCCATATTCTGAGGGGCTGGTTCAGACTTATGGTGGTTCCCCAGCTCTCTGCCTGGTGTCTGTGAGATCCCACTTGCTCAGGTCAGCTGTTTCTGTGGGTTTCCCCAGCATAGACTTGACACATTCTTACTCAACAATTTTTCTCTTGGGATGTCAAAAATCTCTGATGCCGTCTGTTTGTCTTCATGAAATTATATGATTTAGGATGGCTGTGCCCCCTTCTGGAGAGATTTTTTACCTCTTCACTCTGTCAGCAAGAACATTCTTATAATAACTTATTTTAATTTTAAAACTATCTTTTCTCCTTTTACATGCCAATCCCACTTTATACTACCCCCCTTTCTCCTACTCTCCCACCTTCCCTCCTACTCCATCCTGAACCCACTCCTCAGAGGTGGTAAGGTTTCCCTTGGGAAGTCAAGGAAATCTCACATATATCTTTGAGGCAGGACCAACCCAGATATCTAGGTCAAGCAAGTATCTCTTTCAGTTCCTGAATTTGTGGGAAGGATACTGGAAATTTTCTGCTGGGTTTACCTTTGCTTTGAGATAAAAGCTTCTCTGATCCTGGGATATTTTCAGAGCTAATTCTGGGCTTCTCTTTGTCTTTCTGTCCAGTGTTTATCCTGGAACTAGAGACCAAAATCAGAGGAAGTATTCCTTTTCCTCAGTATAAGATAGGTTATGGAGATGGGAAGCAATAAACAAATTTTAACAAAGTTTCTCTCTTTCTCTCTCTCTCTTTCTCTCTCTCTCTATCTCTGTCTTTCTCCCCCCTCTCTGTCCCTCTGTCCATCTCTCTCTGTCTTTCCTCTTTTCCCCCTCCACCCTTGTTCTTTTATTGAATGTTTTCTTCCATTTGTTGTTGTGATTTATTTGAGCATATCTTATCATTTCCTCAGGACTGTTATCTGAGATGGCTCTAAGGTTTCTGCAAAAGTCAACTGATTTAACTATGTCCTAAATTTTCACCAAAGCTGCTATTAGAGCATAGAGCAGATCTGTTACAGACCTGTAAACCAACATCTTTCAGTGATTCCACATTCTCTCTGTGATGGTATATTGGCCTGTTTATCAAGCCAGCCACTATACCACAACTGCCCAGGAATCTGCTTTTGTATTTGCTAACTGCTTTGCATGGGGTCCTCTAGCCTATCCCAGATGCTCTGAATTTATAAACCAGACCTTTACAGTGAGAACAGAGTTACATCAGACAGGTAGTGGAGAACAAGATGAAGTCACAGATCCATGTCTTCATGTCCCTGCTCCTCTGGATGTCTGGTGAGAAATTTAAAACCATTATATTCTTTGCAGAATCAATGTGTTCCCGGGTGTAATATTTAATATGCCATAATATGCTGACAATGTCATTGCAAGATCATTAAATGACAAATATATTGTTTTGTTTTCTGTGTTTTTTCTTATATGTGATCACTCCTATTCCTGATTACAGGTGCCTGTGGAGATATTGTGATGACTCAGTCTCCATCTTCCCTGGCTTTGTCAGCAGGAGAGAAAGTCACCATCAGTTGCAGGTCCAGTCAGAGTCTCTATCACAGTGGAATCAGTAAGAACCTCTTGGCCTGGTACCAGCAGAAACCAGGGCAGTCTCCTAAACTGCTGATCTACTATGCATCTACTCGGTTCACTGGGGTACCTGATCACTTCATTGGCACTGGATCTGGGACAGATTACTCTCTTACCATCAGCAGTGTAGAGGCTGAAGACATGGGACATTATTTCTGTCAGCAGGGTTTAAACAATCCTCCCACAGTGCTTCGGTCTCCAACAAAAACCTCCTCTATGTGTCTCACCAGGTGTCTGTACCTCGACCTAACACTTCCCTCTTCTGCCTGAAGCACTGATGAAAACATATGCAGAGCCTAGCAAATTACAATGAGATCAATCTCTCTCAAGTCTTTTGGTATGAAAATCCTTTATAAAAAATTCCAAAGGAGAGCTCACTATTATTTTTCTATTCCTTATGCAACACAGTATCACAAACTTTATTGCGTGAATATGAGGAATAATAGTTCTGAGGTCTGGTGTCCAACATAACATTCTTTGGGCTGAAGTGATGATGATGGCAAGTTTATTTTGGTTTAGAAGTGCTAGGAAAGTGTGTTTTCTATTTTATCTAGATTTTGGAGTGCTTTCTTACTCTTTTGCTGTTGCCTTTTTCTTCTTTTTTATTTCCATAAATTCTTTCAACTCTTTTTTTACATTTTAGTTAATTAATTAGTTTCATCTGTGTGCAGGCTTATGCATGTTTCTGGGTGTACATGTGACATGGCATAATTGTCCTAACAGAGGATACTTGGAATTGATTGTCTCTTTGTCATTTGAATTCTGGCGATCAAGCTCTGGTTTAATTTCTGGCTTGGTGGTAAGTAGCTTGATGTGGGAGGTCCTTCTGTGTATGTTTATCTTCTTATTGGTTGTTGAATAGAGTACTGTTGGCAAGTTAGGTGGTACTAAGTGTCAAAGAGGATTCTGGGAAATGTAGTAAAGAAGTGTTGTGATCCAGGCAGGAAGTGACATATCAGGCCTACCCATATATAAGCAGGGACAAACAGGAAGTCCTCCCTTTTCTCATGCTCTCTGCTCGGGAGCCAAAATGTGATCTATCAGCAAGAGAGGTTGCTTAATGCCATAAGGTTGCATAAGATAAGTCTTATGATTATGGTGGATAATTAAGACTGGACTAGCAGATGAGAGATCCTAGTTATTGGTCAAGCATCATTTGTTCCTAATATAAGTCTCTCTGTGTTACTTGAACCCTAATGAGGCAGGCTGAACTGGGGCCGCTAGGGGGAATGCACCTACCTGGTGGCAGGGCTTGGGTCGCTTCGGTGGAAAGATTTATCATTACAGTAGCTTTGTTATCTGATCCAACTTTCTGCCTCTTAAGATATTTTATTGATGTATATTCACTGTATTCAATTTTCTTAAAAGCAATGTATTTTCAATGCATCATATGTTTTGGCCATACACACCCATCTTCCATAATTCTCCTTCTCTTTTCCTGCCATCTTTAATCCCCTATACCCTCTTTTACTTTTATCTCTCAGTCTCTCTTATATATCCACACACACACA